ACGTTACTGGCGAATCTAGTGCGTCATTTGATAGAAGGGGTAATTAACGGACAACAATGACGTCACAACTCAGAAGTGTTTTTTTCTGTTCTGCTGGACCATCTGAGGTGAACAGAAAAGGTTCTGAACGTTATCCATGAACGAAGGACAAGGAAAAAAAGTCCCATTTGGGAACTGATCGAACCCCGGCTAAATCCAACCTGACGATTGGGTTCGATTTCTCCAAAAAGAGAAGAAAAAAATACAGATAAGTAAGTTGGTGGTAAGTTAATACTCTAATTACACTAATTAAACTCACTAATTACATTTCAACGACCTGATCATTCAACCAATCATGTTCAGAGACCTTAAACTTGACATCGAGGTTGACGTAGAAAAATTCGTAGACACTCGTTTGTTTTTTTGAGTTGAGTTTCGATTTCAGCCTTTATTGACCTTCAGTATCTCGCTTAATTTTTTGTGTGTGTTTAAGACTTTTTTTGAAGGCTTTGTTTCGAGTCAAAATTTGTTTCTGATATAATATATTTATTTGACTACTACTGCGGAGAGTAGTCGCTGGCCTCTTTATCGGGAAATGATTCTTTTAACAATGAGCAAGATGGTTAGATGCGTATGTTTGAGTGCGAGGGCTCAGAACTTTAACCTGGCCGGGAATAACATATGCTGTGTTTTGGTCAGGCTTGAAAGGATAGTTTCAGCACCTTTCTTGGCTAGCTGCTGACGTAAATATCTCCTAGACATACGTCAATGCCACTTCAAGTTTATATTAACATTAGTTTTCTTATTTCCCTCGTGTCATAATCTCGCTCGTTGTCGATTGGCAAGACTGTTCGCGTTTGTGGCGGAGCAAACAGTGATATTAATGGAAGAATCTGTGGAAATTGAAATAGGGAACATCTGCTGGTAAGTTTGCTTTGAAAATAGTACAAATTTGATATAAAACCAACAATCTGAGTGATTAAGTTAGAATGATTGTTACATTGAATTTATTTAGTCTGGGGAAAAGGCGGTTTCGGCATTTGAGCGTTGAATTCATTTTTTTTTCATGATGACAGCGAAATTTCGGACTGTATAACTTTTTCCGAAAGCGTCATTGATATTGACTCTTGAATCACCAAAGCATCAAAACTGCTCAGACTTACCAGCGTTGTTTTTGTTTTTTTTCCTCCCTCCAACCTTTACAGAGGGTCTCATTAGGGTGAAGGCTCTTACGGCTAACGGTTACATTTTTTTTTTCGTCGGAATTAATAAGAACAAACATTGGAGTAGACCGAGGTTATTGCAAAGTAACTGTCCGGTGATTTTGCACCACATGACATAAAGCAGCCAATAAATCGCGCGTTTTAAGTCGCCATATCAGCTTGAGCTTAGCCGTGAAAGGTCATGTTTAACTTTGAAAAAGTGTCGAGTGTCGGAAGAGAGGAAATCTGGATATTTCTCGTGAACGTAGCTAATTATTATATGCAAAAGTACCTGGGAGAATGAATGACGTTCTTTGAGAACGTGCTATGATTTATTAGATGTTCTTCGTTACTTAAATGAGGTGCTCCTTTTTCCTTTTCCTCTTCT